TTTTTTTTTTTTTTTATGTTTTCACATTTAGTTTATATGATTTTCAAATTGCTCGCTTTGAGGTCTTTGTTAGTTTTCGATCTTGTTATTAGCGGGAAGTAAGGAGTGCCTGTGTTTTGGTACGCTGCTGCAACTTGCGGCTGATGTCATCATTGCCAGTACCAGCTTCTCGAGCCACCGATTCACAACCATTGCAAACCACCAGTAATTTTTTCTTTTTAGTAAATAAATTTATGTCTCAGCACTTTTTTTTTTGGTTGTCAAAAACTTCAAGCTTACAGCTTAATTTCTTTGATAATCTTGAAGCTTTGATACTTTATAACAGGATCATCTCCAGATGACATTTCATTCATTCATTTTTGTTCCACTAATTTTAAGGGAATCGTACCAGTAGAGAAGGCTCTTATCTCTTAGTTGCTGAGGGCAAAGAGAGTCAAGAAAACCAGGTATGGCATCGTTCAAATTAACTAACATTAATTTCTCAACTGTTAGCTTACTTTTTTCAGATTGTCGATCTATTTTGTTGTAAAGAGAATCTTTTTGCTGGGTAAGGTCTGTTATTTAGGGAGAGGGGAAGAGGGAGTTACTTCAGATTAGTTTTTTTTCAAAGGCTTTAGCTCTCCATTTACTTTAATTTTTTCAGTAATGTTTAAGTGGTAAATTTTACAGCACACATTAATTTTGTGGCTTGAGCAAATCTTCACTTTAAATCTTGTTGTTCTGGAATGATGGAAGGTTACTCTAGTTTCCAAGGCCCATGTCTTTTTTCTTTCTTTATTTTTTGGCTTTAACATATGTGGTTTTAAATTTTGCAAAATATGTCCTGTGAGTGTTATGTAATCTCATTTGTTATAAGAAGCTTATTTTATCAACTTATTTAATTTTTTTCTTCGTTGTTGTCTTCACTCGAATGACTTAAAAAAAGTTTTTATAATTTGTACAAACTAATTTTTTCCAAGTGCAGCAGAAATTCATTAGAAACCATGAATTTTCAGAAAAAATATGAAGGACTACTATTTTTTTGCAGCTGTTAAGGGGAAATCTCATCATTATAGGGTGTTCGGTAAGTAGTGGTACATAGTTTGAAAAGCCACTTTTTTTGAAACAGCTTGAGTGTAACGAAGTTTTATTCTTAATGATCAGACAACAGTTTAGTGTTTGGATTGGTCTGACTAGACAGACTTTAACAGACTTTAACAGAGTATATAACTTCGTGAAGAAGCATTTCTGGAAATATGAACTTTAGAGAAATTGAAGAACAAAATAAGTGATTACTTGGGAACTCATAAGAAGTGGTGAAGTAAATCTCAAGCTCAGCGGCTGTTTTAACCTTCTTCATGCTGTGTCCCACTGATATAGTGACGTATAAGCTACGATTCGCCGCTGAGCGAGAAGAGCTGGAATTAGGGCACCGGCTATGAGTTTAGAACTTCTATAAGATTTTTGATAAAAAAATGTTTCGCTTATCTATCGGGAGACGTCTACTTGGTGGTGCTGGAAGAAAAAGTTTTTACTGTGCTAGTAACCAAGGTATCCTCTCAAGTCTTGACTGCGTTTCAATTTCAGTCGCTTACTGGGAGACCATTGAGAAATGCTTCTATTAAGCCGCATGTGTTAATTGTTTTGGAAGAGGGAGATGACTGTTAAAAATTTAATCGTCACTCCTCCCACACTTCTTTCGAGTTTTTGTGAAGAACACTGTATGTGTTCAGGAAGGTCAAAATCTGAAGCATCCAGAATTAATGGCTGTCACGTATTATCCGCGGTATTCAACGGTTTACGCCAGTGGGTCTTCGGTCAGTGCTAATGTGGTGGAAAATTACCTTCAACCATTAGCAAAGCAAGGATCCGGAAATATTGTTTTTATTGTGCCGTTTTTTGTTCTTGAAGATATTTTGAGTAGGATGAAATTTTGACCTTAATCAGAATTATGGATTTCTAGGCTGTGCATCACTAACTATGAGCACCTTGTATTATAGGAAGTGATTTGAGAACACAGCTTCACAGTAAGAGGGGTCGAAGGAAGTAGGATTTTTTGTAGAAAAGGTGTCATTATAGCTGCCACAAAAACAGCTGAGTTGGGAGGCACATAATGGTGCAGGTCATAATGAAGCCAAACGAAAGACAGTTTTTAGTGAATTTTAAGGGTGAAAAAAGTTTTATCTGCGCATTAGACTTTAGTTAAATTTGGACCTCTCGGATGGTGTAATAGTTCGCTGTGTGCTTGGATAATTCCCGCCAGAACGGTAGGAAAATGTGCAGAGTGTGAGAAGGTAGAGCTTTCGGAAGACCACCAGTCCAGTAATAAGGTTCTAAAAGAGATGCCTTCAGCTAGCAAAAAAAGTTTTTACCGTCGAACAAAGTGGGTCAACAGTAAGAGTAGTATGTATTAGTTGTATGTAGTCTCGAGTTAGGTCTTCTTGTCTTCTATTGTGACTGATTTTACGAACACTTCAGCAGAAGTTGTTTCAGTTAAACTAGTCAGTAGTTTTAGTAGTTTTCTGTATAACCACAGGTGCGGAAAAAGGCGTTGAAGTAAAATGAAGTGGAATCAGAAATTTATGTTTTCATATTGATTTTTTTTCACAGCAGAAAGGTTGTCATTTTTAGCTATTTAAACTTGCAAATAATGTTTTCGATTAATACGGTTAACAGTATCAGCTAAAATTTGTAAATAGATCTTCATTTGCCTTAACGAAGAGTGAATTCAACAAAACTACTTTCCAACAATTATTTACATTCTCACACTATTTTTTGCTCTTCTATTGGTCACAATTCTAAATGTCCAATGCTTATGGGACCACTCTATTTCGGTGTTATACTCTTCTAAATACTTTTCGCAGTCTTTGAAACTGCCTTTCTGCTTTCTTTCTTCTCAAATAGGCCTCTTGTTCTGTTCTAAACCTCAATTGTCTTGAGTTAAGGATCTTGGGCATCGAGCAAGTACGACGAGAATGAGGCTCAAACAAGCTTTTGCTTTATTTAACTGTAACTTCAAATCTTTCCATCCCAGTTGAAAATGCGGCTTTGTAACTGAAGTTTGCTTAAAACCAACAATGGAGTTCACTCGTCGTGTCCTTCTGTGTGATTTTCTGAATTCCTGCACCTACTCCACCTTGTTTTGCATTTGGGATTATAAGGGGGAGGTACCGCCAGTCTTTGTGTTGTTTTAGAAGTATATTGAATTGTTGATTTTTTACTTCAGGTGGGGGAGATTAAGAAACCTCGTTTGGTCAGTAAAACCACAAGTAGTGAAGTACGGAAGTCTTCGATGGATGGGAGTGAAACGGACGGTAATTCAGGTCATTAATGGATTTTTTTTAGTAGTGTGGCTAGCTTTGCTTTTGAGCTAGAATACTTGTTTGGTTATAGTGACGATCTGTTTCCATGCTGAGTGTCAGTACTAGTTGAGCTCATCGCAGAAGTGTTCAAAGTCGGTAGGAAGTTTTAAAAGTTGCTCAGTGTTCATCATTC